TCCCTCTCCCCTCCGCAGAGCTGCCATGGAGCTGATCCGGGACCTGGCCGTCGGGTGTGCGTGCGCAGCCGTGGCGGCGGCGAGGGCCGTTGGGGGCGCGGGAGGCGAGAGAAATTAAGCCGAGGAGCGAGGCGGCAGCGAGGGGAGCGGAGGCGGCGGCGAGGAGAGGGGAGGCGGCGGTGGGGAGGGAAGAGGCAGGCGGGCGGCAGCGGCGGGCGGCAGCGGCAAGCGGCGCAAACTATCGGCAGCGGCCTGGCGCAGCACGCTGGTCAGCGCGTCGTAGAGCGCCGTCAGCGCCGCGACGAGGATCAGCTCGTTCTCGGCATGGTGGCCGATCACGTAGAACCACACGTCGGCAGAGTTTCTGTACACTGTCACCATGTTGTCAAACCTGCGGCGCGTGGCAGCGAGGCTCGGTCGCGGCGGTGGCGGCGCGGAGCGCGGTGCGGCGATGTCTGGAGCGGCGGCGTGGCGTGGCGCGCACATGACGATCTCTGCCTCATTCTTTGCGTTGGTACGGATCGTCTTGTCGCTCAACTTCTTCTCGAACGCGGTCTCCTGCGCCGGCGCGGCGACGCCGCGGGTCGGGCGATGGTCCGCGGCGCGGGCGGGCGGGCGGCTGCGGCGGCACCTCCGCCAGGCTCGCAAACTCGCCCTTGTAGTACCGCGAGATGATCCGCTTGCCGTCTGAGTCGAGGACGAGGAGCGACTTGATGGAGGGGATGTTTCCCTGCAGCGCGCGCGCGCGGAGCGGTGAGCGGACGGCGGCGGCGGCGGGAGCAGTGTCGCGACGGTGCGCGCTCGCCGCGTCCATTCGAAGGCGAACCGCGTGCGCTGCGACGCCAAACGCCGGGGCGGGGACTTGGCAGACGTGGCAAAAAAGAAAAAATCCGAAGCGCCGCGCTGAAAACTTTTTCCATTCGTCATCTCGCGGGGGGAAGGTGGAAGCCGCTGCACCCGAGGGTTTTACCAAGCTGCCAACCCTTTTCTCCCACTCCGGGCCCTGGGTTGGTTGGGTGGTCCCCCACTCTGCGCACTCCAGGCCTCCAGATGTTGGTTGGTTGGTCCCGCACTTCGCGCACTCGCGTAACGGTCGGCCACGCCGTAACGGTCGTAACGGCTCCTTCCCCTGGCACCCCAGCGCGTCTAACAGGCCACTGTGACCCTCGTGACGCAATTTCAGGATGGACAGTGGTGAGAAGATGGATCTGGGAGCCTGAAGAGGCGTGAAATAGCCCATTTTGACCCATTTTGATGTCCTACGTGTTGAATACGCGGAGCGAAGAAATTTTTGACCCGTGGGCGACCCTGGCAGGACCCTGGCCGGCCCAGGAGGCTGGTTGGCTGGTCCCGCACTTCGCGCACTCGGGCCCGGAAACAGTTGGTTGGTTGGTGTGGTCTTTTGGGCACAGTGCGAGAAAAGGGTTGGCAGCTTGGTAAAACCCTCGGGTGCTGCGTGTGGGCCCTGCTGCGTGTGGGCGCTTCTCGCCATGGAGGACAGGTCCAAGAAGCCGTCCGATCACCTCTATTGGGCACGCACCGCGTCGACCACGCAGCCCGTCGAGCACAAGCCGCTCGATGCCGCCGCGCAGGCGGCGCTGCAGTCGGCGGCGGCCAAGCCGGGCGCGGCGTGGAACGCCGCGGCGACGTGGGAGGAGAAGGATATATCCAAGTGGGCGCACGAGCTGCTGAGCTCGACGCTGCTGCCCACGCTCGCCGCCGCTGAGGCGGAGCTGACGGCGAGCGAGGCGGCGGCCCTGCCCGCCGACTCGAGGGGCGCCTCCGGCCTGCGGTGCGCGCTCAAGGTGAGTGCTGTGAGCTCCGTGAGCGGCGACGTGACGCACGTGCTGAGCCGCGGGAAGCAGCGCGTGGTCTTCGAGCTGACGCTCAAGCTCAAGCTCGAGCTCGAGCTCCGCGAGTCCGACGGGACGCTCCTGCAGCTCGTCGCCGGCTCGCTCTCGCTCAGCGAGGTCGCGAACGACGACCTCGACGGCGCGAGGATGCCGTCGTCGCACAAGACGTCGTGCGACCAGCCCGAGTGGGCGCCCCTGCTCCGCGCCGCCGCCGGTCGCGCATGGCCCCCGCTCAAGGGGGCGCTGGTTGCCCTCGTGGAGCAGGCGAAGGAGAAGTGGCGCTGAAGCTGCTTGCGGCGGAAAGGAGGGCCGTGGTGCGAGGGAGCCTGCGCTAGCGCGCAGCTCTCGTCGCGGGCGTGTGCTCGCGCGTGGAGCGGTGCGAGCGCATGAGCGCGTCTTTGTGGCGTGCCCTGGTCAGCTGTCACCGTGGTCTCCCTTGCCGCCGCGGTCTTTCCGGAGGGTGCCGGGCCGTTAGACTCTGGCAGTCTCGACAGTTGGCGTCACGTGTGCGTGAGGAGCTTAGGCGAGGAGGCGGCGAGGCCCGCAGGTTGGAGATTTTTTGTAGGATAATACATTAGAGGAGAGTGTGTGTGTTGTGTGAGACGTCAACCCGCCGCGTGGATCGAGAGTCTACGAGCATCGGCCGCCGAGGGAACGTTGGGAAGAGGCACGAGGAGGGCGGCGACTTCGACCGACTATGGAGGACCCGTCGCCAGACGACGCAGGGCAGAAGACGGTGAGGCGGAGCAGACGCGCAGGGTGAGACGAGGGAGGGAGCAGGACTTTGCGGAGATCAGCAGGAGGATGTACGAAGAGATTAGGAGCAGCAGGGACCCGAGGGACCATGTGGAAGACGGCTAGTGCTAGTCCCCCATCGGGAGGACGACCCCGGCTAGTCGCCGACCACACCCACAAAGAACCCTGCACAAAGATCGCAAGGGCGGGGGCCTGTTCCTTTTTACCCATCTCACAGTAGAGAGGTGTCCGTTTTTATTTATTTATTTCTACGAGAGCGTGTGGTAAAGAAACTACGGAAAGGAGAAAACACCGACTCAGCTTAGGGGCGGCGGCACGTTGGTTTTTGTAGGATATACATTAGCGTGTGAGACGAGATTTTTTGACCGCAACCGCCGACACCGGAGAAAACGGAAACCGCGCCGCGCACACCGCGTCCCCGGCTCCGCGTGGCTGGTAGCTCACGCGGCGTGCTGGTTGGGCGTGGCGCGAGAGACGTACAGCGCGCTCGCAACACTCACACAAAAAACAGGCGACCGTCAAAGTAACACCGCAGACGAGCTGGGGTGGGTGCCGATGATACGGCATACGCCCGCTCAAGCGACAAGCCCCTCCATCGTGATACAACCGCGCTTGTCGCCCTCACGTGGCCTCGGGCTGGTCGACCAGAGATAGCTCGTTGACGTCAAAGTGGCCGACAAACCTGGGCGACTGGAACTCGACCTTGATGGGCCGGTTGGCCGAGATGTCGCCCCTGCCGTACGACTTGATCACCTCCCCCTCCAGCCCCTGCACGTCCAGCCCCTCCTTGTGCTTGGGCACATGCCGCAAGACCACGCGCTTGGAGACACGCACACGCGCGCCCACCGCGATGGTCTGCGGCTGGTCAAGCTTGAGGCCTGCGAGCCCGAGCTTGGCAGACACCGTGCTGCAGCGCCGCGGCGCGTGCGCTGCCCGCCCGGCCGTGCCGCGCACGCCGACGTGTTGCCCGCTTCTCGGCAAATGCTGCGCGGACAGCGGCGGCGGCGGCGGCGCGAGCAGCGGGCTGAGAAGCGCGGAGGCGCTCGCTAGGCAGAGGAGCGCGAGGCCGATGGCGCGGCTCATGGGCACACCCAGTCGGCAAAAGAAGAAAAAATCACCGGCCTACCCACGGTGTCTGAGGGAGCCCGGAGAAGGAGGCTGATGCGGGAGAGGGGCCTCAACCCGACGTCGATACCTCGGATGTCTCACGAGGCGAGGACGGTGCTCCAACAACGGGAAGAGGCTAGCCAGGGCTCGGTTTCCCCGGCCGGTGTGCATCTGGGCCATGTCCATGCCGTCTGGGCCGCCCATGCCGCCCATGCCCCCCATGCCGCCCATGCCGCCCATGCCGCCCATGCCGCCCATGCCGCCCATGCCGCCCATGCCGCCTGGGCCGCCCATGCCGCCGAAGCCTTGCATCTGAGATGGGTCATAGCCGTCCATACCCTTCTGGCCATCTTCGTCCTCTTCGTCCTCGTCGACCCACCTGGACCAGTCGGGATTAATCTTCTCGCGCAGACATCCCGACCTGGTCCGCAGCTCTGAGAGGAGGCGGGACACCGTCTTCCTAGACACTCTTCGTAGACACTTCCTAGACAAGAGGGGGCGGGACACCGTCTTCATGTAGTGACGGTCAACTAGGTCCTCAACTACGACCTGCCCGCAAACTCCAAGGACTACATCCACCGCGTGGGCCGCTCCGCGCGCGCAGGGCGAGATCGCGCCGAGATCTCCCCGAGATCTCCCCGAGATCTCCCCGAGATCCGCCCGAGATCCGCCCGAGATCCGCACGACCAGTATGCGCTACGTACCCTCAACGGTGGAGATGGTTGCTTCCCCCAAGGAACACCCTCGGGCGGCCGGGTGGGGCTGCGGCTGGAACTAGCATGGCTCGATAGAGCCGAGACCCCGTGTTGAGGCGGCGCTCCTGTGGGCGGCTTTGGTGGTCGTGCCCCCCGGGGGTTGGCCACCCCTGTGCCTGTCTCCAGTCGAGAGAGGAGACTTCACTGGTACTCGTATCCCGAGGAACGGTCACATCGCCATCGCCGTCGGGGAGAGGGGGGACGACACTGCTTCTGCAGCGTGCACCTCAATCCTGTACCGTGTTTGTTATGACCCCCCCAATGAACACACCAGTGAGGGTGGGCGAGACGATCGAGGGGTCCCGTACCATGCGGAACCGACCCTATCCAGTGCTCAAGTGCTCAAAAGGAGACTTGCGGAGATGGGACATCCGCGATAACTCTGAATGGTTAGTGATTGCGCAACCGGCGCAACTGATTTGTGGCGACAATTGGTGGCACCTTTGTCGGCACTGGTGAAACGACATTGTGTGTCGCTGGTCCAACTCTCCGGGCGGGGGGCACTTCCGTCGTCGACCAGCCCAACGAGAACAGAAGAAATTCCACGAACGGAGGGCTCTCACTTGTGTAAAAGTAATGGGTGTGATTTTGATATAGTGAGGTGGTCGTTTTTATTCATTTATTATTTATTTACATCGATCGTGAATAATTAAACAAGATATCTGGTGGGCGGTGGCTTCGTCTGCGTCACATTCCCAAGCAAGCTGCGCTCGGGGTTGCCGTCGTCGTTCTGCTCCTCTTTGGAGGGTGATATTTGAAAGAAACGAGTTTTCATCGGCGTCGTTGACATTACTGATGGCAGCGTTGATAACGACAAAGGCTGTTTGTCGCCTTGGAGGATGGCCGAAGACGATCTCGCTTTTTGGTTGAGTGTGTCTGCGTACATGTCGTCGTATTTGTCTGCCTTTGCGGATCGCAGTGTGCAGCTTGCGCAAAAGTGGGGAAAGGTCTTTTGGGCATCGACAACGGAATGTTTGTGGTGCAGAAGGTATCCCTGCAACGCTGCTGGCGTGATGTAAAATTTACCGGCCGCATCAGCCGCAGCGTCTTTCAACATGTCCAAAGCTTTGACGTCAGCATCCCGAATCACGCCGCGGTAGAATCCGTCCAGAAAAATCTTAGCTTGCTCAGCGTCTAGCCATGACAAGCAGCACCTCACATCGATGCGCCCATGTCGAAATAAGGCCGCAGGCAAGGACTTCGGGTCGTTGCTTGTGAAAAAGAAGATGTTTCCTTCTTGACTGGCTACCCCATCGAGAGCGTTGAGCATACCACTGACAGTCAACGTGTTGCTCGAGCTCGTCTCCAGCTTTGTCATGATGTGGTCGATATCTTCAATTAGAAACGCACTTTTTGCAGGGGCCGCATTCAACAAGTTGGTGAGAGAAGCGTCGCTCATTCCCTCGCTCGCCAAATCAAGAAGGCAGAGTGAATACCCCATGAGGCCAGTGAGGACTTTTATTACCGACGTCTTGCCAGTGCCAGGCGGTCCGAACAAGAGGTACCCGCGCCGATACGGAATGCCGCGACTGATGTACCATTCTTCAGATGCTTGGAAGTCGGTCAAGTCATCCATTAGCTTGATAGCGAGGTTATCTCTCAAACACAGGCTATCGATAAGTCGTGGCTTGAAATGAGTGGAAATAGCCCAACTTCCATGTGAGCTCGTGAGCACGGTTACATGCCCGCGTCTGCTCACGATGTTGAATTGGCGTGCGTCCTCTGCGAAACTCTCCAGAGCGGTCAGCCCATTCCAGCCGAAGCATTCAATGCTCAAGGTGTCGTTGACCTGGCCTTGCTCGGTGAGTTGGGTCCCGTGTTTTACGGCTCATCTGCAGTGCTTTCGTTGCGCATTGCGCGGCCGCCGAGCAACTTGGCGATGCCGATGGAATGAGTTGATGGGACCTTCAACTATGCGAGGGCTGGGCGTCCTCGTCACGGTGGCAGCAAAAACCGGTGCCGAGGCCCTGTGCGCAGAGGCGTGAGCGCGCGTCAAAACGAAGGAAATTTATGCCGAAAACAGCCTGTATGGTGGGTGGAGGGCTCTGCTGCCGCGGCGCCCCCGTCCGTGCGAAGGCGCCCGGCGGCTGCGCGTGGTGCCCACGCCGACCGGCTGCTCTCGCGGCGCTGAGGCGTACCGCTCCGGTCACGACTCGAATTGAAGGCCGCAATTTTTTTTATTTCTTGTGCCTAGTAATAAATAAATAAAACGGACATCCCAAGCTAGGGCTGGGTCGAGGACAGACACGTCCCCACCTTTGCAGGATTTTGCAAAAAAAGAAAGAAAACAGACAACCCAAAACAACAAATGTTTGGTATGTTTGGTATTGCTAAAAATCTCTCTCTCAACCCAAGGGAGGGATGGGAGAACGGCACGCCGCCTCGCCGCCACCACACAGGGATTTTAAGGAGAGGGGTGTGGTGCGCTAGCCGTCGCCCACCCTTGGGCGTCCGCCTCTTCCTATCTCACTTCGCAGTCTCTCTCCGAGGATTTTGCAAGGATTTTGCAAGAATCGTGCCAGCCATTTGCTGAAATTTTCTCCATCCACGACAAGTCGGAAGTCGCCCATACGGAAGCCCGCGGAGGTTGCCGCGGAGGTTCTTGCAAGTACCGTTGCCTCATGGACTTGTTCGCCGCGGCGCGGCGCGGCGCGGTACCCGCCCTTCGGTCGCTCCTCCGCCCCGAGGCGGAGTGCGACGCGGACTTGCGCGACGACTGGGGCCAGACGGCTCTCATGCTTGCCGCCGAGGCGGGACGAACGGATTGCGTCGCTCTGCTGCTCGCGGCGGGCGCAGACGTGGGCGCGCAGGATGCCGAGTCGGGCTATACGGCGCTGCATCGCGCGCTGCTCCGCGGCCAGATCGCTGCGGCCGCCATGCTCGTCCGCGTCGGCGGCGCGAGCGTCGACTCGCCTCTCGACCACGAGGGCCTCTCTCCGCTGGCGCTGTGCGAGCTGGCGCACGGGCCGGCGGAGTCGGCGGAGGCGACGCTCGCGGGCGACGTTTACACCTGGGGCCAGGCGGGCGGGCTGCCGCTCGGCCGGCCCGCCGCCACGGGGTCGCACGAGGCGCGGCCTGCGCGCGCAAAACTTCCCGCGCCGCCGTCGTCGCTCGAGGAGGGGGCGCTGACGGCGGCGGCGGCGGCGCGCGGGGAGACGGCCGACCCGCGCGGCGTCGTGGCGGTCGCGGCGGCCAAGCACCACACCCTCTTCGCCGACGCCCGAGGCGCACCTCTTCTCTCGTGTGTGTGTGTGTGTGTGTGTGTTTGCGCGTGCGTGTGTGCGTGTGTGTGTGTGTGTGTGCGTGTGTGTGTGTGTGTGTGTGTGTGCACTCTCTACTGGCGGGAAGGAATGATCCGTCGCGAGGGCTCTGACTAGGGACGCTCTTCTCGTGCGGCGTCGGCGGCGGAGGGCGGCTGGGCCACGGGGACGAGACGCACCTGCCGCTGCCTCGCGCGGTGCCGCTCCAGCGTGCGGTGGTTTGTGTGGCGGCGCGTCGCCCTCTCTCTCTCTCCCCTCGCCCTCTCGGAGCGGTGCGGTGAACCTTCTGCGAACCTTCTCCGAACCCTCTCGCAGGCGGGGCTTGACCACTCGCTCGCGGTGACGCGCTGCGGCGAGCTGCTCGCCGCAGGCTCTCAACCGATCGACAGC